AAAAATAGAATCTTTAATTCTGTAAGATTTTTTTTTTTTTTTTTTTTTTTTTTTTTTTTTTTTTTTTTTTTTTTTTTCCAAAAAATTTCGTGGACACTGGGGCACCCCTTCAGATTTTGCCTTTGAACCCTGAAAGGTTAATGCAATGACATCAAGTTCCCAGCACATGCTACCAAACGTAGTTCATTAATCTTTTTTCTTGCACATCGACTGTTAGCATAAAATGCCATCGTGTGGTTTTTTCTTCTGCACATTTTTCCTATTCACCTTTACACAATTTCTGAAATTATCATTACCCAGCGTTACTCCATGACTTATTATTAAGATTCATAATATCAAAGCCTAAATCAATATATCCATTCTCGCTATTTTTCATTTCTAAACCCATACCTCTAACTAATCCTAGTTTAACCCTTTCAGGGTCCAGAGGCCAAATTTCAAAGTGTGCCCCAGTGTCCAAGAATTTAAAAAAAAAAAAAATTATTTTTTCTTATGAAATGGTAGAAAATCTTTTTCTTAAGGAAATATAGTAAAAAGTATGAAATTTGATGGAAAATTGACGAAATTATGCTTTTGCGAATTTTGATGTGTCAGCGACATTTACGCATCGGCAATTGTGTTGACTTTGACTCCCATTTTAGGCCAGTTACCTTATTCCAGTCAACCAAATTCTTAGCTATTTCACTAGTATTACTTCTTCGATTGAGCACAAGAAATCGCGAACTCGACTGTTTCAGCTACAAAATAAAGTGATTGGAATTTGGTAATTTGGCCAATTTAGTGCCAAGTTCAAAATATTCCAATTTCAAAATAGGGTCCAGAATAAACAATGCAGGCATTCCTGGCACTAAACTAGCATTTCCTCTGTTCATTAGTTATGTTTTCAGACTTTACAAATGAATTCCATTTTGATTTTTAATTCACATAATGAATTTTTATTCAAACCAAAAAATAAAAGATTTACTGTCATGCAATATTGTAATAATTGTATAAATAATATCAGCACACTTGTGAACGTATATTAGATCCACCAGCTGGCGTGTATTAGACATGTGAGGTCATTTGTTTACTCTTGAAGATTGGCAAAAATTTGACATTTCCGCTACTTTGAGCTCAGTTTCAAGCCATTTTCACTACTATAACCAATCAAAATCATCTCTATTTCTGTAATATATCTTCCATTCTATCAAATGAGACCACGAAATCACAAATACAACTATAAACATACAAAAAAAACACTGCAAAGTTGCTGGTTTAATCGAAAATTACAATGTTTTTTTTCTCTCATGCACTGTGTGCTGCAGGATGTTTTATATGGTGCACACATACCACATAGATGTATTCTCTCGTATCCAGGCCCAAATTTATTGCTCACAGCTTATCAGAGTGAGCTGAGCTCATGGCATAGATCTATGGTTTAGACCCTCAACGCAAAGCCGTAGGTCTACAGCACGGATCCTGAAAGGGTTGAAGTCCTAACAACCCCCTCAACTGAGCTAGCAAGAAAACCCATGCCTGCCCTGAATAAGTGAACCCTATCCCTGGCATAATGTCATTTCAGCCATAGAAGTGGTCCCAGTTGTCAATGAATGGTACTGCATTATCCTTAGTGTTTGTCCAGCCAACAATTAATACCAATTGCTCTGGACAACCATTCATTTCCATCATCCCTTCTTGGGAAAATGCCACATATACAGGGCACCCCCCTTCTTCCTAATTATGTCTGTTGCTGTCCTGAACCTTCTAAATCCTCACTTCTATGCTTGCCTACATCATTGCCTCCAGCACTGAGGCAGATAATAAGATTGATCCCATTACTGTTCATGATGTCAAGCCGGCTAACAATATCCTCCACACAGCCCCAGGAAAGCAAACCCTTTGTCTCTTACTCCTATCCTTCAAGCAGAAGGCCTTATCATATATCTAATCTGGCTATCCCCAACAACAATATTTTTACCTTCCTTGGTGTTTGTCGTGACGTTTCTAGTAGTTGACTCACACTCGTGGGTTAGCACAGAGAATGCATTAGATGTTTCCACAACAGTTTCCACAGCAGTCTTTCTTCTTCATTGTTTCTACCTTTCCATTCGTTTTCTTGATCGTCAACTTCATTCCATGCTGTCCAGCCACTGTCCAGGTTCCCTTCTTGACCTGAGGACTCGCAGCAGGACTACTACTACGAATCCTCTTGTTTTCCTCAGTCAATTGCCGTATCTCTATCTTCGCTACCCTCAATTCTTCCTTAAGCTGCTGGTAAAGTTGCTCGATGGAGGGCATCTTGGTTCAGTCCACGGAGAGTACACTAGACATGTCTTCACTGAGCTAAAGTACAGGTCACCACTGCACTAATTGCAAGTCACCGCTGTAGTGTCCTTATGTGTACCAACACATAAGGGACACTACCAAAGAGAGAGAGAGGAGAGGATGAACCAGCATGACTGGACCTAGTATTCACCTTGAATAGTGCAGATATTGAGGACATCACACATGAAAGACCCCTGGGGGCCAGTTATGTGGTTTTAAGCTTCAAATACATAGTTGAGTTACAAGTGGGAGGGGGAAGCAGGAAGGCCAGACGAGTGAAGCCAAAATATACAAGAAAGGGGATTATGCAAGCAACGAGGAAGAAGTGAAGAGGCTGGAAAAGCGAGCTAGATACTTCAGAGGCGAAGGGGCCGGATAACATCTCTCCACGAGTCCTGAGAGAGGAAGCAGAGGCACTTTGTGTACAATAACAAACTATCTTCAACACATCTATTGAAACAGGGACAACTACCAGAAGTATAGAAGATAGAAAATGTAGGCCCAGTTTTTAAGAAGGAGACAGACACGAAGCATTAAACTACAGACCAGTGTCACTGACGTGTATAGTATGCAAGGTCATGGAGAAAATTATCAGAAGAGTGGTGGAGCACCTAGAAGGAATGAGCTTATCAACGACAGCCAGCATGGTTTCAGAGACGGGAAATCCTGCGTCGCTAACCTACTGGAGTTCTATGACAGGGCAACGGCTGTAAGACAAGAAAGAGAGGGGTGGGTAGATTGCATTTTCTTGGTCTGTAAGAAGGTGTTTGACACAGTTCCACACAAGAGATTAGTGCAGAAGCTGGAGGACCAGGCAGGGATAACAAGGTAGGCACTACATTGGATCAGGGAATACCTGTCAGGAAGACAAACAGCGAGTCATGGTAAGTGGCGAGGTGTCATTGGACACCTGTAATGAGCAGGGTGCCACAGGGATCAGTCCTAAGGCAAGTGGTGTTTCTGGTATTGTGAACAACATGACGGAAGTGTCCCTGTTTGCAGATGTGAAGTTGATGGGAAGAATTAAATCGGACGAGGACCAGGCAAAACTACAAAAAGGATCTGTACAGACTGCAGGCCTGGTCAGCAATTAGCTCCTGGAGTTCAACCCCACCAAGTGCAAAATCATGAGGATTGGGGAAGGGCAAAGACCACAGATGGAGTACAGTCTAGGGGGCCAGAGCCTACAAACCTCACTCATGGAGATGGATCTTGGTGTGTATATAACACCGGGCACATCTCCTGTGGCGCACATCAACGAATAACTGCTGCAGCATATGGGTGCCTAGCAAACCCAAGAACAGCATTCCGGACATCTAAATAAGACTCATTCAGGACCCTGTACACTGTGTACGTTAGGCCCATATTGGAATATGCAGCATCAGTTTGGAACCCTCGCCTAGCCAAGCATGTAAGGAAACTAGAGAAAGTGCAAAGGTTTGCAACAAGACTAGTCCAGAGCTAAGGGGTATGTCCTACAAGGAGAGGTTAAGGAAATCGACCTGACGACATTGGAAGACAGAAGAGATAGGGGGGATATGATAATGACATACAAAATACTGAGAGGTATAGACAAGGTGGACAGAGACAGGATGTTCCAGAGATGGGACACAGCAACAAGGGGTCGCAGTTGGAAAGTTGAAAGACTCGGATGAACCACAGGGATGTTAGAAAGTATTTCTTCAGTCACAGAGTTGTCAGGAAGTGGAATAGCCTGGGTACTGATGTAGTGGAGGCAGGATCCATACATAGCTTTAAGAAGAGGTATGATAAAGCTCATGGAGTGGGAAGAGTGACTGAGTAGCGGCCAGTTGAAGAGGCGGGGCCAGGAGCTGTGACTTGACCCCCTGCAACCACAACTAGGTGAGTACATGAGCACACTGAGACACCAGACTACTACTTGCTGTAAAAGCCATTGTTAATTGCCCATGGTATGGTTAATAAACCATACCACGGGTGGGGTTAGAACCCACGATCAGAGTTTCAAAACTCCAGACCATCGCTGGTTCTAACCCGCCCGTGGTATGGTTTTTTTTGCAATCGTGTCATTATGCTTTCGTGAGTCATGTTAATAAAGCACACACAATGTTCTGAGTCTAGGGAAGATTAGAGACTAATGACTAGTGCATGTTAGTGAGCACAGACAATACATATCACTGCCAGCCTACAGCTTGGGGAACAATGAGAACAGACAGGTCATGGATGTGGCCGTTCTGGTCTGTACTGGACAACTTCTGAGTCATCGGGCTTCGTTCTTTCACTTCAGAAGATAACTGGGCACTGTCACTGATTAAAATCCAGAATTATGGACTTTTGTCCATTTTGTTCAATAATTCCAATGTTTGGAATTTTTTTATTTTTTCCATTATTGCCAAAAATTTTTAATGAGCTTTTACTGTAGTTTCCTTGGTATACATTCTGTTCATTTGTTTTCTTATCTCTCTTTTCTAGTTTCTTGCTCCTATGCATGTCCTCAGTGCCACTTAGTGATGCGTGTTCAGACATCCACCACCTATAAGTTATTATATCTTAATGAGTTTAATATGAAAAAGCTTAGTTATATAGAAGAGCACCAGAGTAAAGAATGTACACTTAGGCAAAATGTAATTCAGTCCAAAAATTAATAACATTTTCATTATATTCTGTTAGTAATATTTAATGTGTAATTTTTATGCTTGAATTTTTATTACTTTCAGATTGATCAGCTTCTGCACCGCCAATCTGCCGTAGAAGAACAACTTCGTACAGCAAAGAAACTTGTCTTCTTTACACTTATTGTGATGATTGTAATCCTTATTTTCGTAGTTACTGCAACTAACAACATGACTTCCAGCCTCCTCATGCATTCTGCAGCATGCAGAGCACCGGCACCATACAAGTCAAACTACGCAAGATGAAGAGGGAAATCATGTTGAGCTATAGCATCTTCCTGGTAGGTATCCAGTAACAGAAGTTTGTGTGTAACCTTTAATGACATTGGATATTATTTTCAATGTGTGATGTAAACTTTGGCAGCAACTTCACTTCTTATATGATAGTTCATGTGAACTTGGCAACTAAATTCTAAGATAGAAAAATGCCTCATTTGCTACCATGCATATTGGCTATATCACTTATTTGTATGAAGCTTATTACTATATCTGTGATTGTGTTATTAAGTCTTTGTAAATGTCAGTAAATAATGGACAAGTAAAGATTAATATGTTATAATATTGGTGTTATGTATAGGACATACGTTATTTTATTTAAAATTTAAGTGACTACTTAGCATGCACAGAGGATTGACTACATTATTAATAATTTTATGAAGTTTTTCTGTAGATTTTTCACAACTTAACATTAATGATTAATCATAGGTTTCTCAGGTAGTAATATTTTTCACAAATGCTGTAGTATTGGTTCATTGGCTTAAAAACATTTGCTGAGAAATATATCTTGAAATAATCAAGACATTGGTTATTTGTATAACTAGTCATGTTCTGCCATTTGTCATTCCCCTCTATTATAAACTGAAAGACACCAGTACCTCATTAGTCATTTGAATCCATATTGATTATATTAATATATTTTTTGTCACATTATTTTTGTAAGGCTCCATTAACTTTATACTTTTGACCTATTTACCATTTTACTGAACATCGTGCTTTAATCTGAATACTGCTTCAGTCACTCTGGATATATTTTTAACTTGCATTAATTAGGATAAATTTTCTTGATTTTTATTGCATCACTTTGAAATTTGTAAATGCCATGCATGTAACAGTTACCACAAGATGGGACTTTCACTCCCACATCTTTCTTAGTTGTTCATTATTTCAGTAATACTTCGCATATGTGTCAAGAAACATGTATGCAGAGAATCTAGTTTACACCAAACTTTGCTATGTAAGGTTTCTTGAGTGTACAGAAAGCATAGTAACAAGTGTCCCTCACTTTGTGATAGTGTTCCAGATAGGAGGGCCATTTGACATATAAAAATATGGGAATACATCCAAAGGCCTATAATGTACTGGTCCCCTTGGATTTATTTTTATGCTCTACCTTCTTCATTAGAGTGTGTGATATAGAAATGTTAAATGTTTTGAATTCTTTCAGGAGGCCACTGGGGCAATGACCTCTGGAACCAATAGCTAAAAATGATAATGTTGATTGCTCTATTTATTGGGGGAGTACACCATCTTCATTTCTGATGCCTTATCTAATGCCCTGTTGTATGTACTTTGCCTATCGAGACATTCCTTGATTATCTAACCAACACCAGTGTGCTTCAGTTTTATCCCCATCCTTTTAGTCAAGGTTCTTTCCTCAACATCACCTCTTTTCCCTTTTCCTTCTCCAATAGTAATAGCTATAGCTATTACTTAAGGTCCAATAGCTAATAGTTTATTGGACTTGACATATGAACATCAAGTGTTAGACTAGGTTCCTGGGCTTTGCCCTTGTGGGAAAGAGAGGGAGGGGAGAGAAAGCAGTAAGAGGGCAAACAAACCTAAAAGATGAATAAAAACACATGCAACATTTGGTACCTTTATTACTGAGATATTTGCCAGTGAAACGGTGCTTTCAGTCAAATACAGAGGAGATTAATATTTTGAAGAATGTCGAAGTGGAGTTTTAAGATGTCCAGTTCCTCGGCCGGGGGTTGAAGTGCAGAAGTCGTCTTCAAATATTCAGTGCCTCAGCCTAGATGGAAGGTGTTCAGTTCTATAGTTTGATCAATGTATTAGTCCATCTGTAGTTGACTAAAGAACCTTGCTGTATAGACAAAACATCTCTCCCATATATAACCTCTCCTCACTTAGCAACATACTAGTTTATTTAACGTCTCAGACTTAGATTGGGTCCTCTGACCAGTGTGCTTACCTAAAATAATGTGTATTAGAGCTGATTTCTTCTATTCTGTTTATTACAGTATGAAAGTACACTTTCTGTATCAACATTTAAAAATATACCCGAAATATTATAAATGTTGCAAAGGTGACATTAAAACAATATTGAAGATGGTTGACACAAACCCACTATCATTATAGTATGCTCCTCACTTAGCGATGAATTTGTTTACCAATGTGAGGTTAGGAATGAACTCCGTTGTTAAGTGAGGAGAGGCTGTACTTAAATATAAAATTCATGTCTTATTCATTACTTGTCGATATTATGTGCCATTTACATAAAGATACAGATTTAAAAAACAGTTCTAGTTGAAATATAGCAAGCATCTGGTTCACAGGAAATTGACTGTGTAAGGACAGGTAATGTACTTTTACTTCATGAGCTAATAGGATTTTTTTGAAGCTGTAATGGGTCTTCAGGCATGTGTGTGCATGTGTGTTTGCACGTGTGTGCATACTCTGAAAGCACACACCTGCACTAATCTCGTCTTGGATGGAATTTACATAACATGAAATGAATCAATAGTAGAAATTGGCTACTCTCATTCTTGTATAAGCAAGTTTATATACAGTGAACACTCAAAAGCTGGCGATTAATGTTAGTGCTAACTGAGCCTTGTAAGTTTAGTCCTCTATTTGTGAACAGTGTAGTAAAAGTAATATTATGAGGAATTACTCTCTACAGTGCCCAGCAGAGAAGGGGAAAAGGGGAAATAAAAGTTGTTGGATGGATTTACAATATGTAGTATGAAGTGGGAGGAAGTACGATATAAACCCAGTGAAAAGCGGGATGCAGTGGGCACAGTAAGGGAACACTGTATCAAAGTCCATAGTCCCAGGCTATTAAACATTTTACCAGAAGACATCAGAAACACTACGGGGCAAGTGTAGAAGTTTTAAAGAGAAAATTGGACAAGGATCTTCAGCAGGTGCCAAATCAACCAGACTGTGGATGGATATGTGCATCAGTAGACCACCAGCAGCAACAGCCTGGTTGACCAGGCAAGCACCAGACAAGCCTGGCCTAAGGCCAGGCTCCAGGAGTAAGAAAACTCTCAAACTCATCAAAGGTATATCAAAGGCAAAAGTAAGCCATATGTAATGGGTTCAATATGCACATACTGTTAGTAATACTCTACATGTACAAGTGTGGTCACAGGTGGTGTAGTGTGGAAAAACTCTAGTTCTGCTCTTCAGCTTTTGTATGGCTCTTGCTTTTAAATGTCTAATTACAGTTTGATCTGGTTTCTTAGTGATTACTAATTTGTTCTAATTGATGGCATGAGAATGTTAATCCTGTTGGAAACATTATTTTTGTTGGTTTTCCTAGCATGTATTGAAATATAGTAGCAATTGTTGTTAATCCTTAACTATTGTACAACATACAGGGTATTTCAGAAAGATGAACCCAATTTCAAAGCAGTATATTTCACAATCGGGTCCATCTCTTTGAAACACCCTATATATAGATGGGATCAAATTGTGCATTACATATTAGTCTGCATGATTTTTGTGCCTTCAAATATGCACCTGCTGCCATTTTAGATTTTGGCTCAACCTCTTGGGTCACCTACTACTACTACTTTATGCTGGGGATAAAAAATATAGGGCCAGCAGGTCCACACAGTGCATCATGGGTAACACTGCCTCAGTAGTGCATGTAAACCACCAGCTGTCCTGTCTTGCTACAAACAAGCTGTCCTGTCTGCAAATAGGTGTGGAACTGGCAAGAAGATGCCTTATTTTTGTCAGATTACAATTCAGTGGAATTAAACCAGAAAAAGCACATGCATAATGTAGATTTAACTTAGACTAATCCTATGAAGTATAGAAAAAATAGAAATGAGGAAAAATTGCAATTGTGGTTATAGTATGCTATGCATCTCTACATATTGAAAGTATTACAGCTTCTGAAGCTTGCCTTCTTTTATAAGACATTAGTATATGTAGTGTTAGAATTAGAGGTAAGACAGAGAGTAGGATTGCAGATGAGCAAGGAGGCTGTAGAGTGGTAGGGGATGTGTAGATCAAGTGTTTACTTGGAAGCATACATGTGAATAGTATTTAGATGAAGGTAGGGAAGTTTTAATTGCATTTATGGATTTAGAAAGGGCATATGATAGTGGATAGTAAGTAGTAAGCTACTAAATGCTGTAAAGAGTTTTTATGAGGATAGTGAGGCTCAGATTAGGGTGTGTAGGAGAGAGGGAGATTACTTCCTGGTGAAAGTAGGTCTTAGACAGGGATGTGTAATGTCACCATGGTTGTTTAATATATTTATAGATGGGGTTGTAAAAGAAGTAAATGCTAGGGTGTTGGGAGAGGGGTGGGATCAAATTATGGGGAATCAAATACAAAATGGAAGTTGACAGTTACTTTTTTGCTGATGATACTGTGCTTATGGGAGATTCTAAAGAAAAGTTGCAAAGGTTAGTGGATGAGTTTGGGAGGGTGTGTAAAGGTAGAAAGTTGAAAGTGAACAGACATAAGAGTAAGGTGATGAGAGTATCAAATGATTTAGATAAAGAAAAATTGAATATCACATTGGAGAGGGAGTATGGAAGAAGTGAATGTTTTCAGATATTTGGGAGTAGATGTGTCAGCGGATGAGTTTATGAAGGATGAGGTTAACCATAGAATTGATAATGGAAAAAAGGCGAGTGGTGTGTTGAGGTATATGCGGAGACGACAAATGTTATCAATGGAGGAAAAGAAGAGAATGTATGAAAGTACAGTGGACCCCCGGTTAACGATATTTTTTCACTCCAGAAGTATGTTCAGGTGCCAGTACTGACCGAATTTGTTCCCATAAGGAATATTGTGAAGTAGATTAGTCCATTTCAGACCCCCAAACATACAGGTACAAACGCACTTACATAAATACACTTACATAATTGGTCGCATTCGGAGGTAATCGTTATGCGGGGGTCCACTGTATAGTGGTACCAATACTCTTATATGGGTGTAAAGCTAGGGTTGTAAATGCTGCAGCGAGGAGGCGGTTGGAGACAGTGGAGATGTCCTGTCTAAGGGCAATGTGTGGTATAAATATTATGCGGAGAATTCAAAGCGTGGAAATTAGGAGAAGGTGTGGAGTTAATAAAAGTATTAATCAGAGGGCTGAAGAGGGGTTGTTGAGGTGGTTTGCTCATTTAGAGAGAATGGATCAAAGTAGAATGACATGGAGAGCATATAAATCTGTAGGGGAGGACAAGGGGCTTGGACTTGGACTTACAGCAA